AAAAAAAAAAAAAAAAAAAAATATATATATATATATATATATATATATATATGTATATATATAGTTTTATATATACAGTGAAAAGGAAAAAGCACATAACATAATTGTTAAAAATAAAATTAAAAAATGAAAATAGAAAAATAAAAGCTAATTAAAAAAATGTATAAAATATTAGTATATAAATAATACTAAATTAACATTACTCACAAGAAAATCATGATATTTGGGCATAGGTACTGTAAATTGTAAAATCTCAGAAATTTCAAATGGCTAATTTTATCCGTATCTTAACATATGTGCTCTGCTAATGCCAAATCTAACAAATTGCAATATGTGATATTTCAGATCTAGTCTGTGTAAAGCGCCCATCTACGGAATCACCTTTGCTCTTGCCCAAGCCATTCCTTACCTGGGCAATGCTGCAATCTTCCGCTTTGGAGCCTGGCTTATTGCACGCTGCTACACAGACTTTGAAAACGTTTTCCTGTAAGTAAACTTTTTATAAGGACTATATATATATTATGTGTATGTGTGTGTGTGTGTGTGTGTGTGTGTGATATTTAAATAACAAACATACTCTTTACTGTCTTTGTGTGTTGGTTCGTCCTCCACAGGGTGTTTTCTGTGATTGTCTTTGCTGCAAAGAACATTGGTCAGTCCTCATCATTCGCCCCTGACTTTGCCAAAGCCAAAGCAGCAGCTGGGAGGATCATACTGCTGCTGGAAAAGAAACCAGCCATTGATATCTATGATGAGTCTGGACAACGACCAGTAAGTATGAAAATCTCAAACGGTTAGAAATGGTCACCAAAAAGCAGAATATAATATAATATCATCTTTTTTTCAGACAACATTTTCAGGGAATGTTGAATTCCGAGATGTGCAATTCTCCTATCCAATGCGTCAGAATGTGAAAGTCTTACAGGGCCTGAATGTGTCCGTGTCTCAGGGACAGACGCTGGCCCTGGTGGGCAGCAGTGGTTGTGGCAAGAGCACCACCATTCAGCTTTTGGAGCGTTTCTATGACCCTGTGGCAGGCCAAGTGGTGAGTTCATCAGGTGGTTTTGTGTGCCTAGAGGTCTAGACCATTATTTTGGCTCAAGGGATAAATTTTAGCTTTACATTCTGTCTGGTTTTTGCTTGTTGCACAGTTTGTAGATGGTAATGACAGCAGAAATCTGAACCTGGCATGGCTGCGCACACAGATGGGGCTGGTGTCTCAGGAGCCCATCCTGTTTGATTGCACCATTGCTGAGAACATTCAGTATGGAGACAAAAGCTGTGTCGTCACCCAGGAAGAGATTGAGGATGCAGCGAAGAAGGCCAACATACATAATTTCATCATTGGACTTCCAGAGGTATGCATGCTGTCTCTATTAATGTGTGTGTTTATAAATTTTGCTTTACGAACAAGTACACTACATATTGATTTTAAAAAATACAGTAAAAACTGTAATATTGTGAAATATTATTACAATTATTACTATTTTAACATATTTTAAAATGTAATTTATTCCTGTGATGGCAAAGCTGAATTTTAAGCAGTCATTACTCCAGACTTCAGTGTCACATGATCCTTCAGAAATCATTCTAATATGCTGATTTGGTGCTCAAGAAACATTTCTGATTATTATCAATGTTGAAAACCGTTGTGGTGCTTAACATTTTTGTTAAAACTGTATAATTTGTCATTATTGTAGAATTTTGTCACCTTGGGTTTTGGGGTTTGTTTCGTGTTCATGTTTTCATGTCTTTTATTATTACTACATGTTTTATGTAGTTTAGTCATGGTGATGTGTGTGTTTGACTTGAAGCGGCGCTGCACAGACCGATCGGTGTATGACATCAAAGTACCGCGAGAGCTCTAGAGAGCAGATAACTCAGCATGCTTTTGAATCACTCTCGTGGTTCTTTGATATCATCGGTCTGCGCAGGGCAGCTTCAAGCCGAACACACCTTATGTTTCTCAAACTGAAATTGGACCAATCAGATGTGAGCAAAGTGTCTGACGCAAAAAAGTCACTCTCCCAGTATCTCTTCCTCCAAATGAAAGGTCAAAAACATAAATAAAAAAATGACAACAAAATTGTCTAGCTTTAATGATAATTACTTATAATTATTTTATATAATTGATATATAATTTATATAATTATTATATGATTTATATTATTATTAATCCATTACACACAAGCAATTTTAGTTTAACAATTATTATAAAGCATTTATTTTAAATGAACACTAATATATACAGATCATATGTAATATAAATAAGCTGTAGAATCAATAGATAATGTTTTAAAAATGACTACATGTGACCTCACATGTTCAAGTGTCTAACGCTATATATTATCAACTATATAAACTAACTTCACAAGTTTCACTTGTGACTGCACTGATAAAGCAAGACAATTTTGTATTTGTCCTCTTTCATGGACAAGTACTTTCTTCAGTGTAAATGCATTTAAATTCCTCATATTCTTCAATCTCTTAACCTTTAGCAAAAGAGTTTTGAATCTCGCTGACTCTCTTGTGAGAAGTGAATCACACTTGCTCTGTGTTGCAAGCCATGTGATTTATCTGATCGCCACTGATGTCACACATTCATGTGCACACGCTTCAAAAACTGGATCAAAGCCTGAGTTGACAAAGAAAGTTGATGAGCAGCATCATGGTACCAACAAAACTGGATTGGAGTGGTTTGGTTTAGTCAACTCGAAACTAATCCTGTAACCCTGACTTTGTTCAACTACCATCATGGTACAGGCCCCAGGAACAATGGAAACATAAGGGCTATATATACAGTTTAATGACCGAACAACACACACCTGTGAACAAACAGACAATAGACCAACGAGATCACAGAACACCTGACTAGCACAACCAATCAAAACATGAAATATTGACAAAGGGAGCACATGGCAAGAGAATCACATGATAAACCATGAAACATAACTCTCCAGTTACTTACGTAACCTCGGTTCCCTGAGATAAGGGAATGAGGCAAACTTCTGTTTACCCTGATACTGAAGCCTGATTTGATCACGTTTGTGTAGCTGCACAAACAAATGGCACTTTAACTCGCCAAAAGGGGTGGAGCCTACTGCTTTATAAGTAGGCTCTGAGTGCCATTTTGTCAGAATCTTTCAAATGAAGCAACAGTCGTCGACTCGCTTGCAGCCTTATAGCATGGCAGCCTACACAACTCTTGACCTTTCCCACTTACAAAAGGGAGTTACTGTAGGTAGATTAAGCAGAAAAAAATCCATGCCTGCAGGGCAGGGATGTCCATGTAATAAAATCTAGTGAAGGTAGATGGCGACGCCCAACTGGTGGCTGCACAGATATCAAAAATAGAAATTCCGCCGGACCAAGCCCAGGAGGAGACCATCCCTCTGGTGGAGTGGGCCCTCACTCCTATTGGACACTGTAAGCCCGATGAGGCATAAGCCAGGGCTATAGCATACACTATCCAGTGAAGCGCTGTTTCGTGACCGGCAGCCCTTTAGAGCGGCCTCTAGGGCTGCTCTGAGTGCTAAAATGGGCCAGAGCATTTACTCTAAGAGTCGAACTGGGCAGAGTGGATTAGGACCTTGCTCACCTTCTGAATTTGGGAGCGCTAGAAGGGTGATGACTTGTGCTCTGAATGGAGTGGAGAGCACTTTTGGCACATGTCTTGGCTTGAGGATGAATCTTCAATCGTTAGGCCCAAACTCAAGACATGAAGTACTGACTGAAAATGCTTGCAGGTCACCCACTCAATTGACCAACGTTAAAGACAGAAGGAAGGTGGTCTTAAGTGACAGGGGCCGCAAGTTGGCCGACTGAAGCGGCTCGAAGGGCCCGTAGGTCCCTGAGGACTATAGATAAGTCCCAAGTCGGCACAGAATGAGGGCAAGGTGGATTCAAAAACTACTTGCTGACTGGGAGACAAAGCTCTTGGCTAAATAGATTTTCAACCCAAGCCACTCCAGGTGGCTTGTTCCCGTTTCTGATCTGGCATTGAGGTAATTCAAGATGCAAATTTCCATCTGTCTCAGAGGGGAGAGAGCTGCGTCTATGCACTTTGTAAAAGTTTGTGGGGCCAGCGACCGTACGAATGACAGGACTGTGTATTGATAGGCCACTCCCTCGAACTCCCTCAAAGTCAGCACCTTTAACGCCTGTCTCATGAGAGAGCGATTCAGATGCCTGAGATCGAGAATGGGCCTGAGCCCACCATCTTTTTTGGGAATGAGGAAGTAGCAGCTGTAAAAGCCTGACTCACGGTTCGCTAGAGGAGCCGTTTC